AAATCCAATCTCTTCTCTTCTTCTGATAAGAGCTGTCCTTGAAAAAGAGCAGTTTCTGTCAAGAGGTCTCTCAGCCCCACCTGCCTCACAGGGTGTCTGTTGTGGGGAGGGGGAGGGAAAGGAGTTTGTGAGCCGCTCTGAGACTCCTTCGGGTAGTGAAGGGCGGGGTAGAAATCCAATCTCCTCCTCCTCCTCCATTCCTCATGACTATGTATGGGTGTAAAAGCGGGACAATGAAGAAAGCTGACAGAAAGAGAGTGGATTCCTTTGGAATGTGGTGCTGGAGGCGAGTTTGATGTCAAGTCAGTGGGTTCTAGACCAAATCCAACCTGAACTCTCCCTCGCAGCTAACATGGCTAAAGAGAGGCCCTTGTCCTTTGGTTATGGGGAAGAGGGTGGCTTACTGCTAGGCTTGCCAACTCCAGGTTGGGAAATGCCTGGATGTGTGGGGGGGGCAGAGGTTGGGAAGGACAGAGTTTGGGGGCAGGTATGGGGTGCTCTGGAGTCCACCCTCCAAAGCAGCCATTTTCTCCAGGGAAACTGATCTTGGTTGTCTGAAGATCAGTTGTGATTCCAGGAGATCTCCAGGTCCCTTCTGGAGGCTGGCAACCCAACCCTCCACCTTGGCATTCTCGTTGCAGCCAGTGTGCCTCTGGATGGTGGGTAGCTCATCACAGAAAGTGACAGAAGGAAGGATGGGGCCACTGACGGCTGTGAGCCACGAAAGCACTCTCTTTGGCCTTTATCTCACCTATTGCAAACCTGAGCCCTCGATCCAGTGGTTCAAAGCCAACCCTTTCCTCTGCGCTTCACCCCTGATAAGGTAAAGGTAAAGGTTTCCCTTGCTCGAAAGCCAGTCGAGTCCGACTCTAGAGTTGCGGTGCTCATCTCCGTTTCCAAGCCGAAGAGCCAGCGCTGTCCGAAGACGTTTCCATGGTCATGTGGCCGGCCTGACTAAACACCAAGGCGCACGGAACGCTGTTCCCTTCCCACCGAAGTGGTACCTATTTATCTACTTGCAATGTCTTGCTTTCACCCCCGATAACAGTGCCCTATTTACAGGGAGATTTACATCTAAGCAGGGGTCTTGTTGTAGAAAAAGAGCTGCCGGAGCTCATTAGCATAACTCATTAGCATGACTTATTTGCATATGCCACGCCCCCTGACATCACCGGAAGTGACAGAAGGCCACACCCCCTGACATCACCGGAAGTGTGTCAGAAGGCCCGGCTACTTACCCTCCTGCTTCATCCTCATTCCCAAACGGAATGAGGATCGAAGCAGAGGGCGGGGTAAAGAAGGGGGCGGGGCTTCACCACGTGACCGCCCCGCCCCCTAGAGGTTCTCTTCCGGAGCTCCGTACCTGAGAGCTCCCCCCCGACTAGAGCCCTGCATCTAAGCTGTTTCACAGAAAAGTTCTGAACTCTCGGAAGACTGAGGTATTTTTCCAGAACAGGTTTCCTTTTCATCTTGATCTGTCGTCTTTCTGCTTGCGCCCTCTCTTGGGTCTGTTGTGTTTCCTTCTGGAAGCTCCTTATTACATTAGCTCGACTGTGTAGCTCTCCCCAGTGTACCCCCCCCCCCAATTGTCAGTCAGTTTACTTCACTGGCTGGATCTCTCCAAAGGCTTGGGGCTGTGGCATTGAGTGCTGAGAGTTCAAGCCTGATTTATTCCAGCTCGTGACTCAGGGCAAGGATGCAATATATTTTTTGAAAAAAATTATACAACATTTTCATGGAACTAAGACTGGGTAAAAGAGAGGGCCAGTGAAAGCCGGCACGAAAAACGTAACCCACAGACCTTTCACCAGCGGCAATAAATTCAGCTGCCAGCCCTAAACAGAGACCTAGACTAGATTTCCAGAAAACTTTTGATAAACTTCCTCTTCAAAGGCTCCTAAGTCAACTCAGTGTTCCCTCTAAGCTGAGTTAGTGTGAGCTAGCTCAAAGTTTTTTTAGCATCTGGCTCACACATTTTTGTCTTAGCTCAGGCACAGTGCTCCCTGTAAGCTGTGGAGTCTTGTGAGCCAAAATTCTACTTTGTGAGCTGCTGGCATTCAAGTTGTGAGCAAGTGATTTGGCTACAGCATAAATTAGTTTGCTCTGGAGCCATCCCTTCCTGAGCTAAGACAAAAATGTGTGAGCCGGAGGCTAAAAAACTGTGAGCTAGCTCACACTAACTCAGCTTAGAGGGAACACTGGCCCCCACCCCAGTAAAGTGCTATGATTTGCATCGATATGGGGCGCTTGGGCGGGTCCTTCTTCCGGAGAAACTGGTTCCCACCTCCCAGGAGCCAGCCCAAAGCTCCCCTCGCATTTTCTGCACCCCCCCCACCTCTCACCTGAAAGCCAGGCATACATCCACACACACGCTAGTGCAGTAAAAGCGAGATCAGGCAAAGTCAGTAGCCAGGTGCAAATCGAATCGAAGGATGGCTCCAGAGCAAACTGATGTATGCAGTAGCCAAATGCCTCGCTCACAACTTTCATGCCAGGAGCTCACAGAGTAGAATTTTGGCTCACAAGACTCCACAGCTTAGAGCAGTGATGGCGAACCTTTTAGAGACCAAGTGCCCAAACTGCGACCCAGAGCACACTTATTTATCGCAAAGTGCCAACATGGCAATTTAACCTGAATACTGAGGTTTTACTTTAGAAAAAAAACAACTCATACATTAACTTAAGATGATCCAAACAAAGTAAGGAAAGCAATCCCAAATGCTTTCATTTACTTGAAATTATTTGGCAGAGAATTCGACACTTTAATGATTTATTTATTTATTTATTTATTTTTGAGACTTATACCCCGCCCTACCCAACGGCTCAGGGCGGCAACAGACGGCAAACGCCGAAGATAAAATACATTACATTAAAAGCATGATAAATAAAACTAAAATTGGTGCTCTACAGTACATATTGACAGAGCTCAAGATGGACGTCTCATTTTCAGCTGATGATATCCCAGTTCTGGGCCTGATGGTCTGGGCCTGGCTGGGGAGATGGCACGTGTGCCCACAGAGAGGGCTCTGAGTGCCACCTCTGGCACCCGTGCCATGGGTTTGCCACCACTGCCTTAGAGGGAACATGGGATAAAAAGACAAGCCCTCTTGTGGGTTAAAAACTGGTTAACAGGAAACAGAGAGTGAATAGAAATGGGCAGTTCTCACAGTGGAAGAGAGTAAGTGGTAGGGTACCACAGGGCTCGGCACTAGGTCCGGAGCTTTTAAACCTCTTCATTAATGATTTGGAGCTGGGAGTAAGCAGTGAGGTAGCTAAGTTTGCAGGTGATACTAAGCTATTCAGGGTGGTGAAAACCAGTGAGGATTGTGGGGCACTCCAGAGGGATCTGTTGAGGCTGGACGGTGTCAGACTCCTTAGTCAGGTCACACCACACAGGGCTTCATAAGAAGAGAACTGTTTGTTAGTGGATCCAGTACTAAAGAACACGTGTACAGCTTGTGTCAGGAATGGCCGTCACTGCAGGGCTATTTTTGGGCAGGAACGCACAGGAACGGAATTCCGGCTGGCTCCCGAGTTGGCCACGCCCAGCAGGAACTCATTAGCATAATAGGCCACACCCAACAGCAGAAACTCATTAGGATTGGCTACTTTACGGGTGTGTGGCCTAACATGCAAAGAAGTTCCTGCTACAAAAAAGGCCCTGGGTTTTGACAACAAATAAGGTAAACAGAATAACAAGCAAAAGGTGGGTGTGGCTGGATAACCACACTTCTGGTAACGTGGGTGCGGCCTAATGTGCTAATGAGCTGTGCTGTCAGGGGTGTGGCCCAATATGCTAATGAGTTCCTGCTGTTTGGTGTGGCCTATTATGTTAATGAGTTCCTGCTGGGCTTTTTCTACAAAAAGAGCCCTGGGGCCCGTCAGTACTAGGGCCTCTGACTTATAGTGAAATCAAACATCCCCCCCTGTAAGCTTAAGCCAATGGATATAGTTCGCGCGCATGCGGGGCAAAGCAAGCGGGCATAGCAGAGAAGCCGCTAACTTTCCCAGCCGTGGAAACTGCAGCTGGAACATCTACAAGGTCAAGCGTAAGATAGCACACAGTAGCTGAGCAGGAGAGAGCTGAGAACGAGAGGGAGGGTAGCCCTCCACATTCCAGATCTATGACAGGGCTACCTGACAGACGGGTGGACGCCAATGGGGCAAATGAGGTTCAACATGGGCAAGTGCAAAGTAGCTCACATTGGAGCCAAAAAATCCCAAGTATAAATACACATTGATGGGGTCTGAACTGGCGGTAACTGACCAGGAGGGGGATCCTGGAGTCATGGTAGAAAACTCATTGAAAATGCTGACTCATTCAGTGTACAACTGCAATAAAAAAGGCAAACGCTGTACTGGGGATTATTAGGAAGGGAAATGAACACAAATCAGCCAGTCTCGTAATGCCCCTGTATAAATCTATGGTGCAGCCTCATTTGGAATACTGTGTATGGTTCTAGTCACCATGACCATGTGCCTGACCATGAGGGATAAAAGGTAAAGGTTCCCTTGCTTAAAAGCCAGTCGAATCCGACTTTAGGGTTGCGGTGCTCATCTCCGTTTCAAAGCCGAAGAGCCAGCGCTGTCCGAAGATGTTTCCTTGGTCATGTGGCCGGCATGACTAAACACCAAGGTGCACGGAACGCTGTCACCTTCCCACCGAAGTGGTACCTATTTATCTATTTGCAATTTCTTGCTTTTGAACTGCTAGGTTGGCAGGAGCTGGAACGAGAGACGGGAGCTCACTCCGTCATGCTGAACTACCAACCTTCCACAGCCCGCAGTTCAGCGTCTTAACCACTTGAGCCACCGCAGCTCCTGGCCCATGAGGGATAGAGAGACCCTTTTCAGAATTAATAACAAAAAGCTGAGATGCCCAGATTTCTGTGCCAGTCGCGAGAATGTGCCATGTTCTGCACATCTGCTCATGGCTTAGCTGCAGTTTGGTTCCCTGGAGACCACATGATCACACAGAGTTGGTTTTCTCTCCTGTCTAGGTCATGCAGCACCTGAGCCAGGATGGGACCCCCGCAGGTGGACCCAACGGCGGCCAACGTTTCCTTCTACCAGCCTTCCGTTCTCCTCATGACCGGCATTCCCGGCATGGGCAAGATCCACCACAGACTGCTCTCCATCCCCTTCTGCTTGTTCTACCTCGTCGCCATCTCGGGGAACTGCACCATCCTCTTCATCATCAAGAGAACGCCAAGTCTCCACGAACCCATGCACTACTTCCTTTCCATGCTGGCCGTGGTGGATCTGGGGATGACGATGTGCACGCTTCCCACCACGCTGGGCCTCTTCTGGTTTGACATCAGGGCCATCGGGTTTGACGCCTGCCTCACCCAGATGTATTTGATCCACGTCTTCTCCGTGCTGGAGTCCTCCGTGCTCCTGGCAATGGCCTTTGACCGCTTTGTCGCCATCTCGCGGCCTCTGAGGTACAGGGCCATCCTGACCACAGCGACCATCATCAAGATAGGCCTGGCCTCGTTGTTGAGAGCGGTTGTCTCTCTCCTGCCCCTCCCCTTTCTCCTCAAGAGGCTCTCGTATTGCACCAAGAACAGCCTCTCTCACTCCTTTTGCTTCCACCCGGACGTGATGAAGCTGGCCTGCACGGACGATGTCACGGTCAACGTTCTGTACGGCTTAGTGGTCATCCTCATAACCGCGGGCATAGATTCCATCTTCATTGTGCTCTCTTACGTGCTGATTATCCGGACCGTCGTCAGCCTCGGGGCCACAGGGAAGTGTTGGAAGACCCTGAACACGTGTGTTTCTCACATCTGCGCCGTGTTGATTTTTTTCATCCCTATGATTGGCCTCTCCCTGCTCCACCGGTATGGCAAGAATGTCCCCCCGATTGTAAGCACCGTGGTTGCCTACGTCTACCTCATCGTGCCCCCCGCTCTGAACCCCATCATCTACAGCGTCAAATCCAAGCCGATCCGGAAAGCCATCTGGAGGCTGCTGCTTTGGAAGATGGACGCCGTCTGAAACAGGGGTGGCGCTTCCTCCCCAGGGAGTCCGGGCCAAACCAGAAAATGTTTCAGTTCAGTGCAGCTCGGGTTCAGTTGTTAACAAACGCCTTCTGGACGTGATTCAACGCACAAGCCATGGTCGTGTGGAATTAAATCATTTTATTCAGTTTCACATGCATTCAGGAGGGTTCTTACTTACATCTTTTGTGATCTAATTCTGTTCTCTGGCTCATGGTGAAAAAGATAGTGTACTCCGCCTTCCTTGCAGTTTAAGGAGCAGACAGAGGAATGGGGAAGGCTATAAAACTCGAATTCCCGCGTCTCTGGATGCCGGAAATGACTGTTGATCAGCCAGTCACAGGAATGCTTTTGGATGTCTAACTAAAGACTTCAATTCCCAGAGGCATCTGCTCTTAAAGATATGTGGCAGTTCTACTTAGCTCCAGTTAAACGCTGGCTGGGTCAGCACATGCACGACGTGCATAAACTGTGGTGGATTCGGCCAATGGTGGTTCATTGGCCAATATCCTGTACTCTCGTTTTAAACACATTCGTGTAGAAAACTGCACACTATGGCCATGCCGCTATGCAAAATGTGTTGCTTCCAAGCAGTGCTCCCTCTAAGCTATGGAGTCTTGTGAGCAAAAAATTCTACCTTGTGAGCGACTGGCATTAAAATTGTGAGCGAGCAATTTGGCGACGGCATAAATTAGTTCACTCTGGAGCCACATCCTTCCTGAGCTGAGATAACAATGTGTGAGCCGGAGGCTAAAAAACGGTGAGCTGGCTCACACTCACACAGCTTAGAGGGAACACCAAGCATGCCTTCAAGTAGGTCCACAAACAGAAATTCACCACGCTGACCGTTCAGCTGGGTCGAGGCAGGGCTTTTGGGTTCTGCGTGGTCACCGCATGGAAGAGTGGGAAGTCTGAGTTCTGACACTTTGCCACCTTCGGGTGGATGAAGCGGAAGAAGACTGGCTAAGCATGTTTCTAACTGTGGCGTGTTGCTGATGCCAAGGAGACCCTATTCAGAGATGACAGAGTGGATCAGCTCAGGATGGGGAGCAGATCTCCTGTCTGTGGCCTCCCTGCTTGAGGTCGCCTGCGGTAGACCGTCAGCCCAGCTGCCAGGTGGGAGAGGTCTGAGACCTTCTGCAGAAGGAAACCAAGCGGGAGGAATCTTCGAGGCTTGGCACACAAGGAGCTGCGGTGGCTCAAGTGGTTAAGACGCTGAACTGCAGGCTGTGGAAGGTCAGTAGTTCAGCAGTTCAAGACCCGAGTGTGCCGCATGACGGAGTGAGCTCCCGTCTCTAGTTCCAGCTCCTGCCAACCTAGCCGTTCAAAAGCAAGACATTGCAAGGAGATAAATAGGTACCACTTCGGTGGGAAGGTAACAGCGTTCCGTGCGCCTCGGCGTTTAGTCATGCCGGCCACATGACCACGGAAACGTCTTCGGACAGCGCTGGCTCTTTGGCTTTGAAACGGAGATGAGCACCGCAACCCTAGAGTCGGATTTGACTGGCTTTCGAGCAAGGGAACCTTTACCTTTACCTTTACACATCGGTTCTGCACTTGCACACTCCTCTGAGGCTATGGCTGCCATGTCCCCCCTGGCGGGGGTGGGGAGGGTTCCCAGCTCCAGTTTGGGAAACTCCTGGAGATTTGGGGAAGGAGCCCGGGGAGGACAGGGACCTCAGTGGGGGTACAATGCCACGGACTCCACCCTCCGAAGTATCCATGTTCTCCAGGGGAACAGATCTCTGCAGTCTGGAGATGAGCTTTAATTCCAGGAGATCTCCAGGCCCCACCTGGAGGCTGAAGCCACCCGAGCTGCAGCATTAGGAGAGTCCAGTAACAAATAAATATACACTGCAAAAACCTTTCAGCAAACTAATGTGTTCTATTTATGGTCATCATTTAGTAAAGTGCAGAGTGTATCATTATTTCATCCTAAAAAGTAAAGGTAAAGATTCCCCTGCTCAAAAGCCAGTCGAGTCCGACTCTAGGGTTGCGGTGTTCATCTCCGTTTCAAAGCCGAAGAGCCAGCGCTGTCCGAAGACATTTCCATGGTCATGTGGCCAGCATGACTAGATACCGAGGCGCACGGAACGCTGTTACCTTCCCACCGAAGTGGTACCTATTTATCTACTTGCAATTTCTTGCTTTCATCCTAGTCAGGTATAAATATTCATTACATTCAATAAGCAATAACATTCAATACATACAGACTGTTAACTACCAGACAATTTTGCATCAGTGTTTTAAAAGTCAAGCCCCAACGGGAGTTTCTAGAATCATAAGCCCGCTTTGAGAATGACAGGACTACTCCGTCCATGAATGTTAGCTGCATAATGTGTCTTTTGTAGGATCGGCAAAAAGCATCCATACAAGAAGGCTGCTCCCCTTTTTGGAAGACTTCATGCAAGGAGAAGCGGGCTTATAATTCTCGAATTTTATAATTCTAGAAACTCCTGTTGGGGCTTGACTTTTAAAACACGGATGCAAAATTGTCTGGTAGTTAACAGTCTGTATGTATTGAATGTTATTGCTTATTGAATGTAATGAATATTTATACCTGACTAGGATGAAATAATGATACACTATGCACTTTACTAAATGATGAACCTAAATAGAACACATGAGTTTGCTCAGGCTCCACTGGACTGTTTTGGATTGCCAGCTATTGGGAGGGGGGATGTGCAGGTCTGTCCTTGCAGAGGAGGGAGAGCTTGTGCCTGAATAAAACTTGGTCTTAAAGGTGCCACTGGACTGTTTAGGATTGCTAGCTATGGGGGGGGGGACGTGCAGATCTGCCCTCACAGAGGAGGGAGAGCTTGTGCCTGAATAAAACTTGGTCTTAAAGGTGCCACTGGACTGTTTTGGACTGGGGGCAGGGGCGGGCTCTGCAACTTACCTGGCTGCAGGAAATGACCCCTGCTGATATCAAGGGAGACAAGGATGCTGGATGAGATGGGCCCCTGCTCTGATCCAGCAGGACTCTTCTTATGCTCTTATGTTATGCTTAAATTGGAATTTGAGAGGGAGAGCCCGGAGTGTCTATAGCTAGAATACACTGTGCTCTGCGTGACTGGCATCCACCCTTATCAACAGGAAGGAGGGGCTGGAGAGTTGCTGCCTGGGAACCCACCACCAACGAGGACCGTTTTACAGCACCGTCGGAGGTTGAGTGGCAATGAACATCAGGGGGCCACAGTAACCTCCCCTGGAATGGAAAGGGTATGTGCAATATGGAGAGAGGGTTTTAGTCACGCGGGATCCTTGGGCGTGGCCCATGTATAAATTGTTTTAAACTGTTTTATTGTATTTTATTGCACCTTGTGCCTTATGGTTGTAAGCCGCCCTGAGCCCGCACGCGGGGAGGGCGGGGTATAAATGAAAATAAATAAATAAATAAATAAATATGTAGCATTTGTGGATTTGCTCACGAATAGCAGTGGGGGCTGGTCTGGGAGAATAGTGACACAGTGCCATGAAATAATAGTGGAAATCAGCTCTGAAGGGAGGAAGGGAGGGAGGAGGGAGGGAGGGAGGGAGGGACACCATCATAAATCCAATATGTAGTTTATTTTAAAAACCCGGTTGAAACCTTACAATAATGGAGCACAGCAAGTAAATAAATTAAATTAAATATATTCACAACAGTCATAAGTACTCAATGGATCTATCTAATAAAAATCCCAAAATGGTTTTTGCATTGTTGTTTAAGCAGGTGGAAGACTCAGGCCAGAAGAGATGGGTGGCATCCTACCAGCTTTTCTGCTTGATCTCAGGAAGGAAGGAAGGAAGGAAGGAAGGAAGGAAGGAAGGAAGGAAGGAAGGAAGGAAGGAAGGAAGGAGGAGAGAAATCGGTGAAGATGTTGCTGAACAGTGGGAGAGGGCAGAGTCCTGATCTGACCTGTGAGGGGGGCAGAATCGGTGAGGGGAAGCAGTAGACGGCAGCCTTGATTGGTCTCTGTCTTGTTGCCTTCTGGCGTTATGTGTACTCTTACACGGTAATGTGATATATGCAATACAGGACATTTTGTCAATTCATTTCAGAGTTATTTCCTCGATATCGTTCGTCTGCAGTGATGACATTAGGCCACCTGGGGATTTGCATGCATGAAGCTGTCTTCTCCTACATCAGGCCACTGGTCTATCAAGGCAACACGTCCGCCACAGATCCTGCTTTCTGTATTCCTATTGACTGCATCTTCCATTACCAAGAACCCACCTCCCCCAACCCCAGAAGGATATCCTCAATATATTGGTTCATCATACAAGGAAAGAGTCCTGTGTAGGGGATTATTTTCACCCTCCTCAGTTTGATGCCCTCCAACTTTGAGACCCTCGATGTCCGTGACAGAAGAGAAACTATCAACACCTGAGTGGGACAATTCTAGGAAGTCCATGAAAGTCTTATCCCCATACACACACCCCAACTTCTCCAGGTTGAAACCCTAGCTCCATGGAAACAAACCCCAACTTCAAGTATAGGCTAGTGGGGTCTTGTTATGTATTGCACCTAAGGCTTTCCTCTAGCTGTACCTAGAATGGGCTGAGCTTGCTTCTCTAGAACAATAGCTCGCCTGGATCCAGAAACTAACCAATAGATAAGCAGTATAATGTAAATAACCCATCACTGGGAGTGGGTGTGTGTTGGGCATGGTGTTTTGCATGCTTTATAAGCAGGGCTCACGCCCTGTTAGTTGTTGTGTAGTTTGCTGAAATCACTTATTAAACCTGAACTGATCACTGCAATGCATCTAGAACCCAGTATTTAACAGTTCTGAACCTGCTGCGACTGGGAGGGGAAAAGATCTTGGCATCGTACTGGGTAGCTCCATGAAAGAGTCAACCCAGTGTGCTGCAGCGGTGAAAAAGGCAAACTCTGTGATGGAGATTATTAGGAAAGGGATTGAGAATTAAAAGACCAATACTGTAATGCCCCATATAGATCTATGGAGTGGCCTCATTTGGAATACTTTGTACAGTTCTGGTCACGGTATCTCGAAAAAGGACATTGCAGAACTGGAAAATGAA